AACATCATTGGTTCCACAATGAATGATAACCGAGTCGCTCTTTGCAATCAATTCTGACATATTGTCAATACACCTTGAAACATCCGGGAAAAGCGCCCCTGACATTGCAATCACTTCGGTTATGCATAATCTACTTGAATAAATATCTCAGAGAAGTGAATCTCCAATAATAATTGAATTAAGCCGATCTGATTCAGATTCATATGGCGGAGCTTGTGGTGGAGAATGAGTGACTTCACAGTGCTCTTCGGAAATACCAAGTGGTACATTTTCCATACAGCCATCGTTAGAACTAGTCTTGGATTCAAGACTACGTATTCTGCTTTCCAAATCTAGTATATATTTGTTCTGTTGCACAAATGTGTTTCTAAAAGCTTCCAGATCCTTTAATAGAGCATTAATTATAACTGGGGGTACTGGTGGTGTATCGTCTGCGTGGCCATCTTCAGTGGTAGTACCGATGCTATTGGTAACAATGGCTGACGCCATCGGTGCGGTACTTTCCTAAGGGGCACCGAATCTACGCTGATTACAAGATACACATAGTGGATAATCAGCTTTGCTCAAGTTAACTAACCTTGGATGATCATTTCCACAGTCATTACACTTCATAATGCGATGATACGATTAAACTGCTTGACAAAAACATAAGGGATTGCTCAGCACCCAAACTCACGTCAGCACCCAGTCAGTGTGTCATACACAATGTCATACACAGTGTGTGCACAAATAATCAAAAAGAAACATGGTGAAAACAGTCTTTACTTCAGTGTATAGTGTTTGGAGAAAAAAATGCGTGAAAATAAGTTTTAAAAAATGATTTAACAGTATACCACTGGAAGCTGCCAAGCTAGAAGTTGTCAACATGTTGCGAGATAAAAGTGAAAAAGTTTACTTATCATTCACAACTGTATGGTTTTTTTAATTCTGCTTGCACGCTGGAAGCGTCTACGCTTTGTCTGTTTCTGTTTGTAGTTTGCGAAGGTACTGTAACGATTCTAGGAAGACACGTGTATAACAATTTGTTTCACAAATTTTACACGTTTTTTACGCGCATCAAAATGCGAGATTAAATATGAGTGTAAAGTATAAGGAGTACAATTGGGTGTTAGAGGACGTCGACATCGAGCAATAAATAAAATATAGCTCCTATAAAACCCTGAACTTACTGCAATGTATATGTGTCATTCCATGCATTCCGTGGAAATAGAGGGAAGGACTATGGAGTAATATACTAATAAAGCAAGAGCAAAAAAATTCAAAAATCTATATTACCTTACATAAGGAAGTCCGTGGTTCAAAGTTCATGTTAATAGATTTTAACAAAATTCCTTGATGGCCATGATTTTTTATGGGGGAAATTTCATGAATTGGGTTTAAACAAATTGTGTCTACTCATGGGTTACTGTGGCGTATCGAGACTCTTCGAACGGCAAGTTGGTGGCGGGTAACTTAAAATATCCATGGGCTGCGATTCCGGCCCTGGATTCACGCGAATAACTAACGTAATCTGAACACTGAAATTTAACTCGAAATTTTGTTCTGCCACAGATCTATAAACGTGTCGAGAGCCGGGGCCAAGCCGACACAAGCTGAAAGGTGTATGTGAGCGGAGGCGACACGTGCCATAGTAACTGTTAAACCTCAGGTACATGTACTTACTGAACATTAAGTTTAAAATCAAATAGTAATTGGAGAAAAATCAATTATTGACAGTCAGACACCAACACCATTAACCTTTGTAGCCTCACACCAGGGACCACATGACGAAGACGCATGCGCAAATAAACTATATGCCAACAACAATTCACATTGTTGTCTGATTTGCACACGTACAATCATGTCTAAGAGTGACCTGAAAGCTAAGATCCAAGCTGTATTTGAAGAGATGTGCAAAGGAAATAACACGAATAATGTAGAGATGTTTTTAGATACTTTCAGTGACGATGCCCAGTGTTTGCCTCCAGGAGAAAAACTCGTATCAGGGAAAAAAGGTAAAGCCACAGTTTTTTCTGATTACTTGTCCTCTAAGCAGAACTGAATGTTGAAAAAATACTGTAATCTATTTTGGCTATTCTGTTATACTTCACACCATGAAACTTAATTGCGTGTGGAGATTCTTTTGAGTAAAGTTCAATCAATTGTGTACATATGTGTAGTTCAAATCAGCATGCATATATATGTTATCTATATAGCTCGTATATCAAATCTGTCTTGTATTCGTCATTACGCCAGATATCGGTAAGCTCTTAACACGACACATAGAGAAGTACAGTGATGTGAACATTGATGTGCACGAAGTAGGTTCAGCTGGCGGTAATGAAGAAGTCTACTCACTCGCTGTGTATAATGAACAAAAGCTTGATGGATCCGGTACGGTGACTGGTAAAGCATTAACTATTTGGAAACTAATTGATGGCCAGTACAAGATATATCAACACATTTGGAATACAGACAGTGCGTAACTATAGGAGATGTAAAATAATAATTTCAACGAAAAAAATGTTTTATACCATTTAGTGTAAAGTTTCCAATGGAAAATGTATACATATTGAATTAACGAAAAAAAGTATAAACTGAACGTTTTGATCAGTATGCGATAACAGAACATATTAATTATCTTTATTCAACAAACAATCAACGAAGCAACCTAACTAACTCACTAACTCTGGAACCTTGGAAATAAACCAGCTTAATGTGTACTACATTATATGTGCACCATAGTACATGCATACCATTAAAATGATATACATATGTGAGTGTGTTTAGTGTGTGCACATTAAAACAGCACAGTCCTTTTCGATAATTACCTAATTCTGTGCATAAAACATTATATCAGTCAGTTCCATTTGAACACGCTATGTATTTACTCATATTAAAAATGTATTACAATGAGACATATATCTACTTCAAGCGGGAGGGTCGTCACCTGCGCACGCGCAGACACTGAGTCCTAATCGACGATAACAGCACACACAAAACGCAAAGCCTCACGCGTAGACAGGTAAAGGGTAGAAGCAGGTGACAACTCCCGCGCTTTAAACCAGGCCTTAATTATTGACTTATCGTATAGACGGTCAAAGTACAGTCAGATTAAATAAATCAGATTATATCCATCACGTATTCGTTGTGCTGTCCTCATTCCGAAAAGCTTGTAGGATATATGCTTACCAGGTGTGTCACAAGGTGGAATGAGGTTAGACTACCAAACAAGACTGTACTTGTGTCGTGGGCCACTTTTCCGACTGCTACTTTTAGAACTAATTGTGACTTGTGTATTTGTATACAACGAGCAATAACAGCTGACTATAGCATTTGCGTGGAATGGGGGTAGCCACCTGCTGAGAAGTCTGACCTCTGTTGCGACAATCTTTGAATCTTTTGAAATTCACCCTCAATGTCTAGGGCACGTTCGCCAACATACATACACTAACATTACTGCACGTCAGTGTAACGTGGCGATGGAATCCTATCTAGCTGTTATGTGTTATTAATTTTGCGAACATTGTAAACATCTTTGCCAATTGAATATTTAGAAATAGTCGAATTATTTAATTTTCAACAAATATCAGCAGGTGTGTAATAGCATATCTATTTAGTCATTTGAGTAATAGTTACGAGCCTATGTTATTTTGACAGAGATGAAGTTTTTTTTTAAAATTACTAGAGCGTGTATTCTATTCAACTCCAAAAAAACATGTAATATTGCGATAGCTGATAGTCTAAAATACTGCTCGTTCCTGTTTTCGTGACAGATGATCTAAATGTCATTTTTATTACAGTGTGAACAAAATACTATAATTATGTAGTGTATTGCAATTTTCAGGGGCAATTTCATGATTTGGGTTTAAAACAATTATGTCTATTCCTGGATTACTATGGCGTATCGAAGCTCTTCAAACGGCAAGTTGGCGTGTGTAACTTGCATAATATCCCTTGGCTGCGATTCACGCGAATAACTAACGTAATCTGAACACTGAAATTTAACTCGAGATTTTGTTCTGCCACAGATCTATAAACGTGTCGAGAGCTGGGGCCAAGCCGACACAAGCTGAAACGTGTGTGAGAGAGGTGGAAACAGAGGCGACACGTGCCATAGCAATTGTTAAACCTTAGTTGCATGTACTTACTTAAACTTTAAGTTTAAAATAAAATAATAATTGGAGAAAAATAACTTATTGACAGCGAGGCACCAACATCATTAACCTTTGTAGCCTCACACCAGGGACCACATGACGTAGGCGCATGCGCAAATGAACTGTATGCGAACAACCATTAACATTGTTGTCTGATTTGCACACGTACAATCATGTCGAAGAGTGATCTGAAAGCTAAGATCCAAGCTGTATTTGACGAGATGTGCAAGGAATATAACACGAATAATGTAGAGAGGTTTTTAGATACTTTCAGTGACGATGCCCAGTGTTTGCCTCCAGGGGAAAAACTAGTATCAGGGAAAAAAGGTAAAGCCACAGTTTTTTACTGATTACTTGTCCTCTAAGCAGAACTGAATGTTGAAAAATACTGTAATCTATTTTGGCTATTCTGTTATACTTCACACCATGAAACTTGCGTGTGGAGATTCTTTTGAGCAAAGTTCGATCAATTGTGTACATATGGGTAGTTCAAATCAGCATGCATATATATGTTATCTATATAGCTCGTATATCAAATCTGTCTTGTATTCGTCATTACGCCAGATATCGGTAAGCTCCTAACACGACACATAGAGAAGTACAGTGATGTGAGCATTGATGTGCACGAAGTAGGTTCAGCTGGCGGTAATGAAGAAGTCTACTCACTCGCTGTGTATAATGAACAAAAGCTTGATGGATCCGGTACGGTGACTGGTAAAACATTAACTATTTGGAAACTAATTGATGGCCAGTACAAGATATATCAATACATTTGGAATACAGACAGTGCGTAACTATAGGAGATATAAAATAATAATTTCAACGAAGAAAATGCTTTATACAATATAGTGTAAATGTTCCAATGGAAAATGTATAAATATTGAATGTACGAAAAAATGTATGGACTGAACGTTACGATCAGTATGCGCCAACAGAACATATTAATTATCTTTATTCAACAGAAAATCAACGAAGCAATCTAACTAATTCACTAACTCTGGAATCTTGGAAATAAACCCGTTTAATGTGTACTACATTATATGTGAACCATATACATGCATAACATCAACATAATATACATATGTGAGTGTGTTTAGTGTGTGAACATTAAAACAGCACAGTCCTATTCGATATTGTTCTACTTTTGTGCAGGTCATTGAATATTATATTAGTCAGTGACCATTTGAACACGCTATGTATACCATATTGTTTTACAATGAAACATATGTCTACTTAAAACAGGAGGATCGTCACATGCGCACGCGCAGAAATTGAGTCACAAACGACGATAACAACACACGCTAAAAACGCAAAGGCTTACACCTAGACAGGTAAAGGGTAGAAGCAGGTGACGACTCTCACGCTTTAAATCAGGCCTCAATTATTGGCTTATATTACAGACGGTCAAAGTACAATCAGATTAAATAAATCAGATTGTATCCAGCACGTATTCCTTGTCCTGACCTCATTCCGAACAGCTTGTAGGATATGCTTACCAGGTGTGTCACAAGGTGGAATGAGGTTAGACTACCAAACAAGACTACAATTGTGCTGCAGGTCTTTTTTCCTACTGCTACTCTTAGCACTAATTGTGACTTGTGTATTTGTATACAACGAGCAATAACAGCTGACTCTAGCATTTGTGTGAAATGAAGGTAGCCACCTGCTGAGACGTTTGACCTGTGTGGCGACAATGTAATCTTTGAATCTTTTGAATTGACCCCTCAATGTCTAGGGCACGTTCGCCAACATATATACACTAACTTACCTAGTTGTTATTTGTTATTGAACTTGCGCACATTGTAAACATTTTTGTCCATTTAATATTTAGAAATAGTCGAATTAATTCAATTTTTAACAAATATCAGCTGATGTGTAATGGCATAACTATTTAGTCATTTGACCTTTAACTGGGTACATAGCTTTAGGGTATAGATACATGTTTGTGGGCCCTTTGGATTGATATGTTTGTTTTATTTATTTTTTTTTTGCTTTTTATTATCTGAACAGTCTTAGCTATAGACTGTTAACATTTCGTTTTACATCATGTTATAAATATATAGATGTACTCAAAATGACCGACTGGTGGCCATTTTTTTAATTAATGCTGTTCCAGAGCAATATTCCTCAATATGGACAAGTACTCGTTTGATGATCACATACAAGATGTCAATCATTTTAATGTTAAAAAATCATCATAATCAAGCATCATCTTCTGGATCCATACTTCTGACATGTCTATTTTCCAACTATATTACTAACAAAACTATATATCTTAAATTTGATAACTAACGAGGACTGGGCCATGCATGGCTTGTAAAATCGAGTTTTGAGTATGTTACAGCATTGACAATGCTTCGAAATCACTCCGATTACCCATGAACCTGTATCTATACCTTAATATGCTTCAAAAAATGCAATATTCCTATCATTAATCATACATTATGGCAAAGGTCCTGTAACGGTTTTGGAAAGTGTTTAAACGTTGTTTGATGACTAACGGGGACTGGTGGCATTATGTAGTATAAATTTCACCTTCAGCATGTTAGTAAATAGTCCCCTGAACAATGACTATTATCAGATTTCTGACATTAACGTATTTGTATTACTATATCTTGCATAGATTTATTAGTAAGTTCTACTATCAGTTTGTATGTATCCAATTCTTACAGAGGGGTTTCCAAAACGTGTCAACAATCGATTGGTAGTTTTGTGTTACTGTTTCTAAAATGCTCTATAAGAATGTTGTATATACTCGACACAGCAGTATATAGCATTTTCTCATAATACATTGAATGAAACCTCAGAAGAGTATATAGAAATGTTGGTAATACTGTCGTTAATGTGACAGTTGATGTCGTGCATGTTTAAGCTTTTTCAACGGCTGTTCTGAGGCTATTTATTATTCGTACTTGATCAGGAAACACGTCTGTAGGGGAATTGGTAATGGGTGTAAGCCGTAATATTAAGTACAAACAGCGATTCTAATCTCTGTTTACATCTGTCGCCTCTCATAACATTTGTAATTCGATCGATTCACAGTTTTGATTAGTATTCATAAGGTACGGGTATATATTTACAGATGCAGAGCACCTTAATTTTTAGTGGCTGTTCAGTATTTAAAAAACTGAGAAATTATTTTCATGAGAGTGTAATAGAACGCAGTCAGATATTGAAAAACGTAGACACGCATCAATGCGGCTGATGTTTCTCGTGCGAATGATATGTCTATATTGTCGTAACAAGTGTGCCGTGTTAACGTGGACGATTAGTGTTTGTTACGCGGTGTACTACATTCCCGAATTGGTAAGTTCCATCCACGAAAGCCCTGTACCCTTTGATCATGCAGAAATGTCACCAAAATCTCTTTTTGACTAAATTTTAAATGTGCAATTGATGAAATGTTACGAATCTTAGTATCACACATTTCGAGTCATATTAACTTTTTATAGTATGTTGACGATGTTTCACCTGTGATTCAGGAATAACAGTAATATATTAGCTCGTTATATTTTTGCTAACTGTTAAATCCCAGGGCATAATTGGTTTAATACTTGCATACACAATACTATTCTGGTTAAATGTATGATTGTCAAATCAGTAAAACGCCTTACAATGTGTGGTTTCTGAAGATTTTGTTTTCAAATTGACACATTAATACCTTAATATTTATATATAGTTTGGTATATTATTACTGTTCCACCAGAATTTTTTACAATCATTTACTGAACGCATTAAAAATGCATTTGACTCTTAACGACAGTACTTCAGTTGGTACATATTGTATTCACTGATACCACTGTAATACCCTCGTAACGAATTCAATTTGCATTGTTTTGTTTGTTTTTTGACACATGATAATGACAATCGTGGTATCCGTACAATGAAAGTGTATTTCATAATTCTTCACATGTTCCTTAATGAGCGAGCTACTACTCGGGTGATAGAACATATTTTCTCATCGTATAGATATTCCCATTCATTCAGGACACAATATAAGTCGGCAATTTTAAATTGGAAATTGTTTTTATATTAGTATATGTGAATAATTAACGTTTTGAGCATGAACCATATCGACCTAATAATCAGCATGATGAATTGGAACTATATGTGTATGCGTGTATATAATTCCATGTCAACAAAATAAGATAATTTATTTATTATGGAGGCACACCGAATATAACGTCATTGTTGCCATGGTATTGTCAAACAAAACAATAATCCCATTCTGGTTTATGGAGTGGCATATGGCTGATACATTGTAAACGGTCATTAAATATGCATTTTATTGATTTTAAATAATAGTATCAGTTCGAGAACTCGTTCATATTAATGTACTGTGTAGCGTGATTGTTTCTCTCTACGCGGTGTGTGACAGTAATATATTTGTAAACTGTCATTGTGTTCCTAGACAGGTATGTTATTCATTTCGTATGTATAAGTTACCTTGAGCGCACGACCGATACAATCAGATTTCAGTTTTCTTAATATTCAGGGGCGATTGTCGTGTTATTCATTCCCTTTTATATATGCAATCACTTTATGATCTTATTTTTTTTCAAATATACTAGTCCGGAAAATGTTTTGATACCTGAGCAGAATCATTACCTAACAAAGTGTGTGACGTAAACATGTATAAGTGTAAATTATTTAAGAACAGAAACTTGAAACAACATATTTTTACTAATATTAAGAAAAATAAAATCGATTAGTTAGTTATTAGTTATTATTACAATACCACTAACTTTTGAAACGATCTCTTCGAATGTCTATTGCTCTTTTCTATATTTTTTCATTAATTTTATACATTTTAAAAATGTTAGAAATATTCTATATATGTAAATCAGAGAAATTAACAGCTTCCATGCTCGTTTATTTAAAATGTGGCCTAATATGTCATCAGAATCACATAATAATTAATAACACCATATGTTACAGCGTACTGGGTATTTTTATCGCGAATTCCAAATATGGATCGAATTGACCCCCCCATTCAAATTTTCAAATTATATGTCAAACGAATGGTCGATCATACAAATACAAATGCAGCATTTATTTGGTACACGTTACTGCAACCACACAAAGATAATATTAGTATAGTAGAAATATCCTCAAATCCAGGATATTAATCATGACAGTTTGTCCGTTTAATGAACAAATAGTTTATTGTGATTTTGTTTTTGTGTTTTCAGTAGTGTAAATTAACAAGTGTTTTTAATACGGTAAACTACTGATTATATTCCATCATATGAAATATAAATATTATATTCCGATATTAGGTGAATTTTACAGGGCGTTCGTTATAGCCACTAGTCAATTATGGTATAACAAACCAGTGTCTATTCTCAGTTTGACATTTTCAAGGTCTGTTTTACTGTATTGATTCATGAATTTATATTTCGAATAACAAATTTCACAACAGCAATTAGCCGCCAATGAGTTTAATTTTAAGCGTTGTTCCGTATAAATGAAGAGAGTGATTTTTCACATCTACCTTCAGCATTTGCCATTATCAGCCACGTGGGAATGATAACTCATAATATTGACCTCATCGCGGGTCAATCTATGTAAATCATTAATTATAATGTTGTAATTGCAGTGGAAAGCGTCATTGATGTCAATAGCATTCTGATTTACGTGATGATTCTCGTTTACTACGATAAAATATTATTAGATATTTGAAGAATATAAATCATAAAGGCCATGATATAAGTGGCATTTTGGAAAACAAGATCGTAAAAGCAGTAGTCAAAAGTGTATATTCGTTGATGGCGACACCCAGTCTAATCATGGA